TCCCTCTTTCTCTCTCTCTTTTTTTTAAATTCCTCTAGCTTTTTAACGCGGATAAACGAGATGATGGTCGAAATGTCTGCGCTTTCCCGTCAGATTCACCGTTCACTTAATGCACCCTATTATTCATCAGCCCCCTTAACTTCCCTATTGTGCAACTTGAGTGATCCGCTGGCTGGCAGCGGTTGCTCGGGTTGACGTGCCGCTGTGCAACGAGCAGCCTTTACTGAAACTAAATCGAGCACCTGAAGGAAATAGGTGTTATTTAAGCGTGCTGTATTGAGGAAATTGGTCTTTTCCATTTTTAGCCTCCTCCCCCTTCTTCTTTTTCTTCTTCTTTATTTTTCTTCTTCTTTGGATGTGAAGTTGTCGCAGGTTTCGCTGGGATGTCGCAGTGATTTACGGGAGCAGGCCAACTCTTATTTGTTGGGCTTTTGTTTACAACCATTACCTCCACATTGAAGATGTCAGGGTGTCTGAAGTTATTTAAATCGCCTCGGAGGGTGAGAGGTGTGTGTTTGGTGATGGGGGGTGGTGTCTGAGGAACAACCAAAAAGGCTGCTGTTGTGAATTTATTGGTATCGTTTTAAGATGCGTTATCAAGAATGACATAGAGTTTCAACCTCATGTGCTAGCCCTTTAAAGGGGGTTTCGCCTAAAACCAAAACTATTCTCGCTTTCCTATTGTGCTATTATTATTGACCTATAAACCGTGTGGCTTTCGTGTCATGAACCAAGAGGTATCAGTCAGACAGTTCTGCCTCTGTAGACTCAATAGAGGATCATTCTGTTGATGTGAAATTATTCTACTGCAACACCTCCTGGCATTTAACATAACCTCATATTTCATTGTACACAGTTTATTTTTTTACCACATAAAATGCTCCTATTAACACATTGGGTTATTTAGAGCATGGTAGGCTGCCACAGTTTCCAGATGGCTTTGTTGCTGGTGATTTTTTTTATTATTATTTTTTTTATTTCTCACATTTCATTGGTTTGAACACCACCAACATAACTCTGGTTTGCAAGAAACCATGAAAGATTTGATAGCATTACAGGTGTAAATTTATACCAAATGCAACAGATACGTTTTAGGTTTTGTGAAGGTCAGAGTGTGGGCTGCTAACTGTAGAAATACATTTTCAGTCACTGGCGGATGACATTTAATAGTGCTTGGGGAAGTGACTAATTTAATTGTATCGAAAGCAGATTGTGTTCTAGAAAAGCCACACAATGTGTAAAGACTTATTTAGTTGGTTTGCTTTTCCCTCCCCGAGTCGTCAGAGGCCCTGAAAGGCATTATTGAGAACGCTCAGTGGCATGCTAAGTGCTGATGAGAGTATGATTCGGTGAGTGCTTGTAAAGAGGATGTAGTGTGGATGTCAGTTGTGGGTGTGTGTGCATTTGGCTCTTTCTCTTTCAGGTTCAGTCAGAGTCTTGGCTGTAGAAAGATTCAGGCAGAGCTGTGGTCCACACAGACCACTTTACTTTATATGAAACAGGGGAAGTTGCTTTTCTTCCTGTCTGCTGTGGCAGTTACACAGCAAAAGTGCTGCACCTCATGGACTCAACAATTCCCTGTGAAATAACCAACTGCATGGGAAATGTATCCATGTTCCACTCATAGTGATTCTCAAATGCTGACGTCCTCCTATTTGTTCAAGAAAACATGATTCAGTTTTATGTTGTTTGATTTTTGTCAAATGTATTTATTTAATCTGAAAATCCTATTGAGACCAAATCTGGCCAAGGTAGCAGCCATACAAACTCCAAAATATAAAAAAAAAAATGCAACAAGTACCATAAAATACAAGATCTACATAATTATATACAGTATAATTTAAAACTAGTGGTCTCAAGAAAAACATCCATACGTCTCCTTCACTGCATTCCCTATGGTGCTTTTAAAATCAGCGCTAGACATAACTGTATTTAGGTTTGGGTCTTTCATGTAGGCACAAAAGAGAATGGGAATGACATGAATTTGGATGTCTCTGCCTTGCTTGTGGGTGTATTTTTACACAGCTCAAGTAAGATTCCATGTAGATGCTTCTATTTCTAGCAAACAAGATGGAAAGATAGGAAAGGCAATACAGAAACCTCACAAATCTCAGCAGCGTTAGGGGCTAAAGGAAAAAAGTTGTGCCAAGAAGGTAATGGGGAAGTTGTTCAGACTATAGTACAGAGTAGCGGTTCTTAGAAAAACCATAGCCCTTAGTTTGCAAAATATTTTAGCAATTGATGTGACAAGACTTTAAAATATATCGTGTCTTCAGGTGCTAGCGAATAAAGCCATTAAAAAAGATTAAGGTGAACCTTAATCTTGTCAGGCTGACTTTTAACTGCAGTTTGAGCAAAATGGCTATAATGTGAAAAAAATGTAAGTGGTAAAACATGGTTACATTGAAAATTTAAATTTGCAAGTCATTACATTGAACAGTTTTAGAACAAAATAGTTCCTGTGGCTTTTAGGGTATAATTAGTGGTACGTATTTGCATAATCAGGGTTAGGATTCTGAGCGAGTACTTTAAAAATTTATCCTCTAAGGGGTCCCAGTGACCAGGAAGCATGAGGAACTTTTGATGCAAACTCACATCGTCAGAACGTAAATGTTACCTGAAAATCCTCCATGTGTGAACAAAATTATCAAGGTATTGTGCTCGCGTGCTTGGAGGGAAAAATGAATCAATCGAAAAGAGAATTTCAATTAGAAATTCTCTTTTTTCTTCATATATGAACAATAAAATAAGACAGATCTGAGAAGAGCGCTGCACTCGCTGTTTGACTGAAGGGTGTAAAAGTCATCAAGAAAACAGTTTTCAAACTGACAGGGTGTTCAGAAGCAAAAATGGAAAATACCTCACGTGTTTAAGCAAAATGAGGAAAAGAAGCACCAGCAGACTCCTCACAGGAGGACTCATTGTTGAGCACACATCATTAATCACTGAACTTGAAGAAACTGAGAAAAATGTAATTTCTTTATTGCAGAAATGCTAGAAATGCTGCAGCCACAATAATGTCAATCATTCCCTTAGCTTTGTGAGTATCAGAATCAAAAAATTCTGATATTTAAAAAAAATTACAATAATCAAATAATTAAAGGAAAAATAAAGATATTTGGATATGAAGTGTCCAATGAGTCACAGGTCTGACAGTGTTTCTGTGTAATAAGTGAAAGCGTAGTTGTTAGAACAGCCTGGGATCTGTGTAAAATTGTGCTTATTTCTAGTTACAAAGAAATCTGAGGCTCCAGTCCCTAAGCACTGGATGGACATAGAAATCTTTGTGATGGAAAGGGTGCACTAGAGATGCAGGTTTCTCAAGAAAAGGAGAAAAACAGACTGTTTACATAAAGTGGGTGCTACATTTGTGTGATGTCATTATGGATGGTGATGGACATAATGCATTATCATTGTTTGAGTTTGTGAGACCCTTTTTAGGGTTCTGTTTTTCTTTATCTGTTGTATCAAAATGTTAATTTTAATTAAGTACAGAATAAAAAAAGAGATATCAGTTTAGAACGAGGCCCCTAGGACCCCTTGGAATATAGCTTTTTTACTAAAGGCTTGTAGCTCTGCTCCTATCTCTACTGCTCTTTTTCCACTCTGGTGTAAGGAGTGTGCAACCCCCTGGCCCCCCCAGGACAATGAGGTCCTCTGCTGCGTGTTTGTGTATGTGCTGGAGGGAGGGGGGAAAAAGGCAGATCGAGTAAGGGACAGGGTCGCGGGTGAAAGGCGGCACTGGTCCCGGCGGAGCACGGGGGTCGCAGTGGTAGTCCCGCGGTCGGGAGGGGGTGGCTTCTGATGGCGGCCTTGGTTTTAATAGAGACATCAGATGTGACAAAGACGGGCTGACAGGGCGCCTGAATGGAGCTGCAGTGACAGACAAGCTCTACTCAGCATCCCATACAGCGTGCTCTCCACCATCGTCACGCCCAGCGCTCCGCTCTTTCTCATTCATGCCACTTCTCTTGTTGTATTAACTTATTTCATCTGGCTCTCACAATGCCCTGGGTTGGGTTTCATGTGTCCGAGATTGACGTGCGTTTGTGTTTTCACATTGGGCAGGAAAAGGCATATGACTGTGGTTTTAAAAAGAAGAACCCAAATGAGTTTCACAAGTAGAGAGGTGAGGTTGGATGAGATTAGCATAGCTACATATATTTTCCAGCTATCGTACCATCTGGTGCGTTACTTAGGTGGTAAGTCCGGGACCAGATAGAAGCACTTTGAATATTAATGTTAGATCTTCTCTAAAGACATTGGCAGCCTGATTATCAAGAGGCAGCAGTCCTTGATTTTCAAATGGCTCAGGGATTCAAACTAATGCAAATTCATTTTTTTTTTGTTTTGAAGCACAGTTTGCAAATTAATGCTGTTGAATTTTCTTTGTCTTATGTCTGCTGTTTGACCCAGTAATGCAGGTTACTCTGCCTGCCATTGTGATGCTTTCTATTGTCTATGGCGAGTGGCTTACATGCTGTTAACTGATACCGATGTTTATATATTATAATGATATAGATGGTGTTAAAATAAAGGTATAGGCATAATAGTGGTGTGCCACAGATGACTATTTGGAGCCTGGATGAGTGCACTGTTTTCATTTCTGTGTTTCATTCTCTCTTCTGCCAGAGTTTTGGAGTCCTAGTTGGCCGCGAGGGCACCAGCATGAGCCAGGAGACACTGGTGTCTGGTAAGAACAATTCTGTGAACAAATGTGTGAAAAGCAAAAAGTTTAGGGAGGTTTTGATTATGAAATTCAAAACCATAATTGACATTTAAAATAACAGTTTGGCTACACAAAAGTCTGGAGTGACCCCTCATTGCTTTATATTGAGCTAGATAAGTGTTAATAGATGCAGCGATTCATTTAAACATGGACAAAAATTAATGTAAATATAGTATATGAGGAAATATTAGAGGTGGAAAAGGGGCACATTTTAATTAACTAAAAAAAATAGACATTTGTAGAACAGAAAATTAACCGAACCAATTGTGTGAATTTGGAAAACAAACTAAATTCAAATTCAAATATAGAAATATCCTTAGTTTTAGTCTTTGTCAGTAGGCAATATTTGTCATGGAAATGTTTATTGAGACTTGTCTGCGAGTCAATTGCTTTTAAAAAGTTCTGTGTTAGTTTTTGATTTTACTTATGCCTGACATGTGCCTTCCATACATAATACGTAAAAAAAACTGAAACTAATGAAAATGAAACAGCAAACCGATAATTTTCCAACAATAAAAACTAAGTGACACAAACAAGCCCACTCTGGAAATGTACTTGAACTGAATTGAAAACAGAAAGTCAAAACGAAATAGAAACAGAAACTAATTAGAAAATACAAAAGCTTTAATAACTGTGCTTCTTGAAGGGGATTCAAAGCTCTTTGGATGTTGGCTGACTTTTAATCTTTCGTGATGATCCCACGCTGAGGTCCGGGCCAATCCATGACTGATATGGTTTTTCTGCCCAGGTGCTATCCAGTTTGTCATTGCTGAAAAATGAAGCTTTTGCCAGTAAGAGGTTTTTCAGCAATTTTGATAGTTGCCCAACACCAGTGGTTGAAATGCAGTCCCACACTATGACAGAACCTCCATCATGTTTTACAGATGGATGCAGACATTCACTGTTGGACCTCCTTTCCTGTATGCATTTTTGCAACAGGCTACTAGTAACAAAGGCCCCATTTAAATTGGTTTCTTGCTAGTACGTAGACACAGCACTACTTCATCCCTTGTGTTCCAGTTGTTATCTTTAATGCTTGCTGTTAAGTGACTCAACAAACAACAAAAAACATTCCTACAAGAAATGGTTAGCTACAAGGACTGTGCTCAAAATAAATATGGAAACCCCCCCCCCCCCAAAAAAAACAACCCAAAAATATATATAAAACTGCAAGTGACCCGTGGATATTTGTGCATTCCTGTGTAGGACAAAATGCTGGAAAGCAGGTTCATGAAGAAAAATGCGTTTGCATTCCAGATGGAGACTCTGCTCAGGATGCTCCTGACTTTAACTGGGATGATTACCTGGAGGAGACTGAAGCCGTGGCTGTGCCCCATCACAGCTTCAAACATGTGGGTGTCGACAACCTTGACAGCTTACACACATTTCTGGATAAACTTGTGCTAGCTATTTATGATGAATTACATAGCTTCTGTGTAAAGTCTTCAGAGAGACTGGTGGGGTCAAACGTCATATTAAAATTTAAATTGAAGTTTTTAAACTTATTAGCATGCCCATATGGTGTTTCATTAATGTGCTAGAAGGCATAGAATGAGGAAAACAAGCAGTCAGCACCATGTCTGAATGTTCTTTTTGCAGTAACAACAGAGTCACCACTGTCACCATTTTTTTCTTTCCCGACTAGTGTAAAGTTGGCTCTAGCTGTTACATTGTTACAAGTTACTTCCTGTATAGGCGCAACTTAAGTTATTCTGTTGTCAGATAACCAAAGCAAGTAAATATGAGTGAAAATTGAACCCTTTTTCATAGTAACTCTTGTTAATTCTATTAACTAATTACAAACATGTGCCTCACATATGGGCAGTCCATACTGCAGCGCCTTTTTTCTGAGGTTGTTTTGATTTGACCAGCTGTAATATGCAAAATGCATTGAAAAGGTTTGGAGATGTTGAGGAAAACTGTGGGTCAGGTTTTGAAGTAATCCAAAGAAATCTGACCACATGTTCTTTGCAATCCAGTGGATTATATGACTAAATATTTCCATGTGCTTTGTGCTCATTTTAAAGAAACCTAATCCAACTCTGTGTTCTCTGGATACGTTACTTGTAGCAAACAATTGGAGAGTCCTTGTGTTCTCTCATAAAACTAGTGTTTTAACCCATGTTACTTAAGCTGAAAGCTGGTAGGTAGATTTATTTAGGATGAAAACCAATAGAATAAAAGTCTTTTCTCTTATGTTGATTTGATCTCCTGTTTTCCGTTCTCCCCTCAGGTGGACCAGGGCCTGCAGACAGGGCTGACTCCAGGCATGAAGCTGGAGGTATGTGTGCGCTCTGAGGCTGACAGCCCTTATTGGGTGGCAAACATCATCACCACATGTGGACAGCTGCTGCTTTTACGTTACGAGGGATACCAGGATGATCGCCGTGCAGACTTCTGGTGTGACATCATGACGGCAGACCTCCACCCTTTGGGTTGGAGCCGGCAGCACGACAAGACAATGAGGCCCCCTGAAGGTGAGGCGCTGCTGGGGTTGGCATCGTGATTTTTGAATTGTGGGACGCATAGTTAGAGCTGACTGATCTCATAAATCACAGTCAAGTAACCTTTCTGTCTTTTAAATGGAGAGAGCTCTGCAGAGACAATGTAAGATTTTGGGGGGTTTTCTTTCATGCCAAAATGTAATTTAATGTTGGAACTCAACTAGGCAATTGGACTTTTGTTCATCAGTTAGATTTAAGTAATGAATATTTCTGTTCCCCTGATGTGCTGCTGGCACAGTTGCCCACAGGTGAAACACTGGGGTTTCCCTTCTGATGTTCTCGCTTCATGAAAAATAGATTTCCCACAAAATGGGTAGGCGAAACACTGAAGGAAATTAACTTTTTTCTTGTGCATTTTTTACATTAATGGAGATTAAAAAAAACCTTGATACTTGTGTGTATAAACAGAAAACATAACAAAACAAAACCAAATACTTGATTTACCATTATGGGATGTGGTAGATGAAAGTTTGATTAAGATAACATCTCACCTTCAGTATATGATCCCTCTAGTATTTTTTTTTTCTGTTTTATAATTGATGTGATGCTTCAAAGCAGCTGTGTGAGGAAAAATTAGAATTGGGATGTGTGTAATGCTAAAGACCACCAGCTTTTTTGGTTAATAAACTAAATGGTGTGTGTGAATCATCCACCTCAGGTGTGCGTGAGAAGCATCAGGACTGGGAGGCTTTGCTGGAAAAGGCCTTGGCTGAGGAGTGCAGCGCGCCTGCCAGCCTGCTGGAATTGGTAAGGCAGGGGAAGGAAGCAGCTGTCCTTCCAAAAGGCTACTCACACCCAGGGTGGGGTGTTAGCTTTTGGCATTTCGGTACCCACCCGTGCCAACAACAGTCTCCTCTATCAGGGCAAATTTACGGCACACACTGTGCACTCCCATGTGTCATATCACTTAAATGTCAGATAATTACAAGTTGCATCCTCTCACATTAGACGGGCAGTTGAGGAATTGTCGATATATTAGGGAAGGGATGTTGGAGATAGAGCTGCCAGGGATGTGGAGAGACGGAGGCAGGTGATCAGCTGTGATAACCGATAAAGGGAGCAGCCGAGAGGAGATCCTCTCTCAATATTTGACTTACCTTTGAAAGTAAAGGGGTAATATTAGAGCTTATTCCAAATTACAAAGTAACAAATTAGATTTACTATATTAAAATTCAGGCCCAGCAGAAGGAATTTAAAGCAGCAGAAGTCAGTGTCTTTCTTCCTTTTTCCCACTTCTTAGCTTTTCTGTCTTCATTTCTGATCCCAGACTCCCTCAACATGGACAATTCCAGTTTTTGTGGAGAAATGCCATCCTTCAGACACTTTTCTTTTTTTTTAGCTGTGCTTTGCTCACAGAGTTTCTCTGCTACCTTTGTGACATCCACATTTACCTCTTCTGTCAACTCTTTCTGTGATTATTTTATTTGTTACATTTTGGCCAGTTTGCCTTTGATTGTTGTCAAGCTAGAAAATGTCTCTCCTGCAAATATTATGTAAAACCTATCAACCAGTGTTGCAGTGTATCCACAGGCATTCATCTATAAATGTCATCCCAAACAGACTTTGCCTCACGCAGCCCCATATCACACTCTCACCTCCCTTGCTTCGCGGTCAGAACTTTGGTTTCACTGTGGTACTCTTGGCCAGGATCATGCCAGCCATGCTGGAAACCATCTGAAAAAATTTATCTAGTGTCTCATCTGATCAAAGAATGCGCTTCTATTATTAATAAGGCTTTTTTGTGCACTTTAGCACAGTTTAATCTTTTAATTTTGTGCCAAAGAGCAAGCAGAGGAATTTTTTTTTTTCTTGGCTGGTATCCATAAAAGCTGACATCAGCACAGCGTGCTTCACACTGTCTGAGCTGTTGCAGAGCATCTCATTTCTACTCAAAAACTCTGTGCCAAGTCTTCTTTTAAAGTTCTTTTTGTACAAGTGGTTCTTGGCTTATTCTGTAACTTCTGATTACTGTGGAAATGTGTTCCAATAATTTTTTCCCCTGATCTTCCTCTATCCTTTTCCATCTTTGTGAACTCTCAGTATCAGATTGCTGCATTGATTTTCTACTTTGGGGTCTGTATTCACAATATAGTATCTCTGAATATTTTGAGTGTTTATGATAGGAAACGGGCACAGAAATAAGGCAGTTGTTAGAGATGAATTGCTTTAAATTTTAATGATATTGCATTCATCACTGTTGCTACTTAGTTATTTGTATTTTCCTATCTGTATTTTAAGTTTAGATTTATATCTCTAAGAGCCATAATAAAAAAATCAACATTAGAATACATCTCAGCTTGAACTAAATAAGATTTTATCTGCTGAAGTCTGAAGTATACAAAACACAAGGCTCTGAGCTTTTGTTTACACCATGAATGATGTGCTGCTGGAAGCAAATACACTGTAGGAGCAGCCTGTGAAATTCTTCACATCCATTAGTTAGCTTTCAGTCACCGTGTTT